ATTAAGAACTTAATTAATTTGTGTTGGGACAACTTGAAGGAATTGTGGGGAACCCTGCATTTTTTTACAGTGTTGTTGTCTTGGATTTTTCTAGTCTATAATATTTAGACCGGCTGCTTTGAATGCTTGGATTGCTTTTCATTAATGCTGATTTACTCATATATTTGTTTCTTTTGACACAGAGAGTATAATAATGCCTATAATAATAGACGTTGTTTGTGGCATATTGCTGGTCATCTCAGTCATCTTAATTTACATCTATGTCATCTGCTACAAAAAAAAACAAAAAAAAAAACAAGATGGGCCATTATAATTTCAAGTAGCCCAAAGCACCCAAAGGACTCTTAGTGCAGCCAACACAGACCCCATGAAGGAACTCTTTCAGAGCAACATCTCCACATATGATTCTCTCCCACAGTCAGATCTTTCAGGACGAACTGTGACGAGTCCTCTTATGGATCAGTTTTAACCTTCAAAGACATTTTAGTCTGAGTATCAGCTAAAAGGTTTGAGCAGCACTGTTACAGTATAATTGACTTTTAGTAATCAAACTGTACTTGTGCTGTATTTTCCCTCGGCTTTATTATTAATGACAGTAATAAAGACAAACTGGTTGTTTCATTATTGTTGGCTCATAATGTTTCTTTGGTTTAGACTTTAAATGCAGATCACAGAAGCTTGTCATTGATTTTGTTTAGCTTTTTTGTAACTGAAGCAAATTCTGGCCGTTCTTTTTAAAACAAGTAAGCGTTTGAGTCAATTGATAAAAACTGTACTTGTAGAGTTTATTAGCACTAAGAATTGGAGAGAAAAAAACTATTCATCAATACATATGGCGATTATTTCTTTAGCAAATCTGATTTTCAAAACAATTTAGAGCATGATGGTGCAGGCCTGCGCAAGCTAGAAATAGAAAAAGAATCCATTTTGATAGACAAATGTACTAATTTGCTGCCAAATTGGCTTTATTTGGAATGTAAAGATTTTAAATCTGGGGCTTCTGCACCAAACTTCTTGCCTATAGATTGTTAAAATATCATTAGTTTTCCATATTTTGTGATTTCATGTTTTAATTTTCCCCCTTTATTTCTGCTTGTGAATTGCATTATGGGACTTTGATTTTTCTTAAAACAATTGAGATACTGTCTGGGTTGGTGTTGTATATTACGCTACATATATTTTCTGTTATTTTACAGACTTATCTCTCCATATAGTTTTTATTATACATTATATTATTTCAAACTACTATTGAATTTTCAACATTAAAAGTTGACAGAGCAGAGATCGCATAAAAAGTTGACAGAGCAGAGGTCCCATAGTGCAATTCACAACCATTGAAAAACAAAATGTGAATGACAAAATACAGAAACCGTTAATGGATTTCTGTCCGTTAACAGATGTATTTTAAAGTGTAACGTGTGACCTGCTTCAGGACGCTGTTTAAAATCCTGCTGTGTCACAAAGTCAATCCTAGAGTTGTCACAGAAGTAGTGCAGCACTGTGCTTCCGGGCTGGTGTCTGACCGGCTTTAGACTCACTAAAGAATATGGACAGAGCGGCATTCAACTGCATTTACAAGCCGCTATTTTATGCATTTCCTAAATAGTATTTTTTTTTCTGTAACCTATAAGAAGGTTGCTGTTCTTTGCAATTGCTTTTATAAGATAAACAATATTTACACAAAAAAAAAAACAGATGAATATTAGCCTACCCTTTTTGATGTTGCAGTTTATGATGTCAGCTTTGACTGTATCAGGTTTGTTTCTCACCCTGTAAAAACTCATTCATAAGTTATTCAGCATTTGTTGTACAGTACAGCTTTTGAATTTCTTTTGTGTTTGTGAATGCGTTTACTGTGGCTTAATGATGACACTGATATAAAATCAGATTCTGTTACAGATTATTAATAAAATATAGTCTTTAGGCCTACAAATTCATAGGAAAGCAGATGAACCCAGAATAGGCTGAATTGCATCTATGCTGGGAGCCACAAAACTCATTCAAGTTACCATGCGAACAGGTTTTGGCAGTACAGGCGAATTAGGTAGGCTAAATTGTCAATAGTGTATGAGTGTGAATGAGTGTGTGGATGTTTCCCAGAGATGGGTTGCGGCTGAAAGGGCATCCGCTGCGTAAAAACGCGCTGGATAAGTTGCAGTTCATTCCGTTGTGGTGACTCCGGATTAATAAAGCGACTGAGCCAACTAAAAAAAAAGAATGAATGACGCACCTATTGATTACGGTTATTTTATTTCACACATTTTATACTGTGAAAACAAATATTAACCTTCATCGCCAGTTAGAACTAGCCTATTTAGTTTCACGAGACAGTTGTAAAATTAATTGTAATTGTAATGTAATTGTAATATTAATCTCTCCTGCTGCTGTAAAATGAAGCAAAACTGAATATATTATTATAGATCACTCTAGTTAAAATTTAACAACAATTTGCAATAGTTTTTTTGTTTTATTTTATTTATTTTGTATATTGTACTTCTAATTTTACCAACATATTTAAATAGTTTTCTCTTATTTTTGGTTGTTTTACTTGTCTAGATTTCTTTTTTTAATTTTCGTTTTTTGATGAATACTACCACTGGACAAAAACGCTATATTGTATATAAATGTGTTGCTCACTTGTTTCGAGAATGTCGCTTTGTTAAATCTTTCTGGTCTGATGTAAATTCTCTAATTGTCCAAAACGTGAGGTAATTTTTTCTTTAAGCTATAGACATATTATGTTGTTCATTAAGAAAATGCAATTCCTTAATTTTACTTTTTGTACACTGTAAAACCCAAAAAGTTAAGGCAACGCAAACCATTTCATGAAACTTGCAACTAATCAACATGAGTACCGTGAACTTACTTAAATTGAAGTAATGAGGTATTTAATTAACTCATTACCTTCAACACCGAGCTCAAATTTTTAGTCAATTTTAAGTTAACTACACTCATTGATTTTAATAAAGTTGACTGTTGGGTTTTACAGTGTATAACCCTCGTTTTATTTATTGTTATTTATTGGTAAGTTTTTTATTAAATTTAAATTACTCAATGTAAGTAATTTTGTTTATTTTTTTAAACGAGAATTAGATCTGTACTTGAAAACCATCACAAACTTTCATAACAAAAAGCAGTTAAAACGTATAAAACATGCACTTTATTTAATTTTCTGCATTAATTTGCACTATTTTTACATGTGCCCTTTCTTATTTATCAATTTTTTGTTTCTTTTTGTTTTTCCAATTGTCTTTCTTTTGCTTTACTTTTATAATATTTCTTTCAAATTGTCACATTTCTCTTGTTGCAAAAAGTAATATTTATTTTGTTTGTTCTATACTTCTATCTGTTTGTATTTCTATATGTTGCAATTGCCTGTTGTTATTGCAATAAAATATATATATATATATATATATATATATATTTTGAAGTAATGGGCAGAAATTCCATATATGCCTCACAAACGTAGTAGAACATTCCAGAAAATCCCTTATATGGATGAAGGCATCCAGCAATTGCTGTACTTGAATGAAATCAACAGATCTAAACTACAGATCTAATTTGAAGTAATTTCTAGCTAATCTTTATTTTTATTTATTTATTTTTTTAACTATTTTTGTTACAATTTTTATTATATCAAAAATAGTAGCCCATTAAATGTCAATATTTTGCAAGCTATTGAATTTAGAAATTCCAGTATTGACAACACACACCTTAGTTTATCACTCTGTCCAAATGAACATGTTTGTAGCTTTGTATCACATTGGATAACAACTCACACTATAAAATAAATCATATTGTCAGATTTGAAGACATGCAGAAAATTACATTTTCAAAAAACAAACAGACACTGCCAATCAGAAGACAGGAGACTCAAGAGGTATGATATGGCTCATGACAGACTAGTAAATGAGAAGTGGGTTATTGATATCAATGTGTTTTCCTTTTTGGTGTTACAACTCAAAATGCCCTGATTTATTATTAAACAATTTTTTATCCTATTAAATTAAGATTAGAGTAGATCATCTTTTGAAAGTTCGGATATTTTAGCGGGGTGAATTAAAGCTTCTCTCTCTCTTTTTTTTTTTTTGGTGGGGACTTCTTTGGGGCTAAGCCCCTTATTCCTTTAGATCCTAGCAACGCCCCTTCCCCAACCCTAACCTATCAATACTTAAAATCTATTGAAAATTAGTTGTAGATAAAATGTAACTTAAATTCAACAAACGAACCATCAAAATAAAGTGTGACCAAAGGAAATATTAACTCCTTAACGCAAACTTTTAAAATGTTATTTTTACTCTTATTGTAAACTTGCTCAATAATGTTAATTATTTATATTTTATTATTTTTATTATTATATTACTTTCTCTCAGAGGATATGTTTGTTAATGAGTCATAAATTGTAGGCCTATTTATTTTATTTTGAGGGGATAGTGTGAAAATACAACTAAGAGTCTTTAATTTTTCTATGTTGTATTGTTTACTTGTATGGTGAAAGAAAGAAAGAAAGAAAGAGAAAGAAAGAAAGAAAGAAAGAAAGAAAGAAAGTCGCCCTTTTAGTCGCATGCTTCTAGCTTTATATTGTTATATCCCAAAATAACCACAAGATGGCGGAGTATGCTACAAAGCAGCACTCCAAGGACTCGGTTTAAGGAATTTTAGATTTGTTTTTGCATTTAGTTTTTTTCTTCTTCTTTCATTGTATCATATTCATTTTGATTAAATCCTAAAATTATGAGTGAAAAAAGTTCAGCTACCTCTTTTGATCTCCAGATGTGGCCTGTAAGGTTTGACTCAGCTAACAAGAAGATAAATTTGACTTTTTATAATGAGTTGTTTAGTATGTAATTCAGCTTTTGGTCATGTCCAACGTCTATTGAACGATAATAATAATGTTGTAAGATTGAACCTACTAAAATTCCCTCTCAGATATTTTCTGGGTGTGGTTATAGTTTTCACCACAGCCGCACAGTTTACATTCACAGTTCCTGTGTGAAGAGGCTGATTTAAAACCTTTTCTCTTTAGCTGAGCTTCCCTGATCACATACAACATGCTTCAGCGTTTCTGTGGACTCGTTTATCTGTCAGCACTTTCCCAGCTTTGCCTCAGAGGTTTGTTAAATCTGCTTGTATTTTTTTTTTATATAAATTCTTTGGAGTCTAAATATGTTGTATATTTATCTGGAGGTAGATTATTGTAACCGTTATAATTTGGTTCAGAGTGTTAAATGCATTTCTCTTCAGTTGAGGTTACTTCATACTACTTCATATTAAAAAAGTTTTTTATTTTAAATCATGATTATGGCAGTAGACTAAGCAACCAAGAAAACATTTTCACTAGCTATTATAGGTAAACAGAGTAACCAACTCATGCATGGGTCTACTTATTCAGTCACTTCAGTTCTGCTCTTCTGTGTTAAATCAATTCTTCTTATTGTGTTTAACAGGTACACTTGCTAAATGTCCTCTTCAGATCACCCCACAGAGTGTTGTTGTGAAGTATGGGGATCCTGTTTCAGTAAACTGCAGCACTTCTGTCACACATATGGGGATGGGATGGGAATCCACTGTGGGAGGAGTGCCCCTGTCCACAGCCAGTCTGATCACATGGAGAGTGTCAGAGCTGACAGACTGGGAGATACAGCCACCATTCTGCTACATAAATTATGGCAAACAGTGTGAAGTAGCTCTCCCAGTCACTGTTTACAGTGAGTTTCTCTGTTATTATTATCTGTGTATTATCATTTTTAGAAACATCTAATAAATGTAGGTTGATGACTGCAGGTATCAGAGTGTGTGAATCTTCCCCCACAGAGACTCCAGACAGTGTTTCCATCAGCACTGTGAATCCAACAATGAAAGAGGGAAACCAGTATGAGCTCCAGTGTGACGTTCACAATGTGGCTCCTGTTCAAAAACTCACTGTCAACTGGTACAAAGGAGAAACTCTGGTGGATCAAACCAACTTCACTGACACCATCAAGAGTCCAGTCAGTAAAACATCTAAACTCCTGATCTGTCCAGACAGAGCTGATGATGGAGCTCAGTACAGGTGTGAAGCAGAGCTGAACCTGGGAGAAGAAGGACCTCAACCTCCTCCTACAAACACATCTGAGCCTCTCCGCATCACTGTATATTGTGAGTCTACTGAATATTCGGTGCTTACGGTTTAATGTAAAAAGATGTTTGACTTAATTTTCCACCAGTGTTGAGCAATTCAACATGCTTTACAGGTTTTGGGTTCGAGAACTAATATAGCTTATGGGTGATTGATATTGAGAAGTTTAATTGTTTGCATAAATCATTTAATATTATGTTACACAATCACAGGCCACTTTATTAGGTACACTCGCAGCATGGTAGCAATTTAAGATATTTAGGCATGTAGATGTGGTCAAGATGATGCAATAGTCTCTGGATGCAGCCTTTTTGATGCAAGCTGAGATTGCATTGCTCAGAGATGCAATGTCAGACACAATACCATCAGTGCCCTTACGAAAAATTACTTCAGTTTTTTTAAAGGAATACTGCAGTTTTGGGTAACTTCTGAAAAGTGCAGTTTTTTGGAGATGAAAGTCTTTACTGTAACTAAAAGCATTACTGCAATACAACTGAAGTACTACAATACAACCAACTGCAGTACATCTACTGCAATACAACTGAAGTACTACTACAGTACAACTGCAGTACAACTACTGCAATAGTACTGATGTATTACAACTGCAGTACTGCTAGTGCAATGCAACTAAAGTACTACTACAGTACAACTGCCATACCGCTGTTGCAATACAACTGAATTACTTCTACAATACAACTGCAGTACAACTACCAATTTTCCTGCTTGGTTGACAGTGGCTTCCAAATGAGGTTTCAGTACGCTAACTGGATTGCTGAAGTACTACTGCAACATGTATTGCACTCTTCAGAAATATAGCTAACTACAGAAATACATCTACAGTACTGCAATACATAATAAAATTAAAGTGCACTTTTAATACTGATGTACCTAAGTGCAATACATTATAAAACATATCACTATATTGCCCCTCTCAGTTTATTTAATGTTACTTTAGTTGTACTGCTGTTGAACTTTATTGTATTGTAGTTGAACTGTGTTTATACCAAATTGTACTGCAATTTTGCAGTTGCATTGAATTTTGTCACAGTTATCCTTGTATAAAGGCCACTGCTGTTGTTCAGTTCACTGCAGTTATTTTTTATTATTCATTTTTGCAAATTCATTAATTTTCTTTTCGGCTTAATCCACTTATTAATCCGGGGTCACCACACCGGAATGAACCGCCAACTTATCCAGCATATGTTTTATGCAGTAGATGTTCTTCCAGCTGCAACCCATCCCTGGGAAACATCCATACACACTCATTCACACACGTGCAATACGGGCAATTTAACCTACCCAATTCACCTGTACCACATGTCTTTGGATTTGTGGGGGAAACCAGAGCACCTGGAGGAAACCCACTCGAACGCAGGGAGTGCATGCAAACTCCACACTGAAATGCCAACTGGCACAGCTGAGGTTTGAACCAGCAACCTTCTTGCTGTGAGATGATTGTGCTACCCACTGCGCCACCGTAAAGCCCATTTTTGCAAAATATCTCTTAAAATTCTAATTAGAAAACTACTTGAATCCAAAAAACATCCCTGAAAAAAGAACAAAATATTATTGGAAGATGTTGAAGATCAAACCCCTTGGAACACAAGTGCAGAACAGTTCTTAACACACCATTGGCATATTGAACTACAGCAGCACAAGTGCAGTAAAGACAAAGTTTACATGTTTTACTCTAGTTTACTGCAGCTTATACTGTTGTTGAACTTTACTGTACTGTCTTTGAACTGTGTTTATACTTTATTGTGTTGCAATTTTTCAAATACTTTACTTTACTGCAGTTATACTTCTATATGCTGCTGTTGTACTGCAGTTTTACTTTAGTTTACTGCAGTTATTTTTTGTTAGGGTGGTGCTAGTGACGTCACTGTGAGTGGTAGGGTTAGGGTGAGCACATTAAAAAGCATTGGCTGCCATTCAGCTGCCATTCTTGTTAATAGTTTAGTCACATACGGGATGTTAGATTACTGTAATTCATTTCTGTTTGGCCTCCCTAAAAAGTTAGTTTGTCCAATTTCATTAGCGCATGCCCCGTGCACCCCTCCCTCAAGCCAAAATTATAATGCATGTGGAAATATCATTCACAAATGACTTGCTGCGTTTAAAGTGCCTAGAATTAATTACATTGAAACATAAATATACGGCTTACCTGATTCAGTGTGATGGCTGAGCCTGCTTCTATGAGGACAACATGCTAATCTGTGGTTGGATTCCTGACACGTCAATAAGCGTGAGCCATAGCCTTCTTGCTGTTGATGTACGTACATACAGAAAATGCTGCTTCGCAAATCCAAGTTTGCAACATTGTGGTTGATGCGAACATTGAGTATGTTTAAATGGGCAACAATACTTTAATACAATAATAAAATTTTTTTATACAATTAAGACAATATTCTGATTAAGAGTTTACAATGTAAACAGTGATTTTTGATCACCTTAATCCGACTAAAGTCATAACTAAACTAAATAGAAATGGAATTAAGGTTCCAATTAAGGAATTAAGGTTACGTGGAGTTTGCTAATATAAGTGGCATTGTTGAAGTATTTTCCCTGCATTTTGTGAGAAGATCCACACATGGCTGTCAGTAAAGGACAGCACACACACATGCATGCACACACACACACACACACACACACACACACACACACACACACACACACACACACACACACACACACACACACACACACACAAAATGCAGAAGTTTTTTTTTTCTTTCATTTGGTGTACGGTATTAAATTCCATTTAAACAACACTCTTCCACCAGTCCTTACTTCATAGTCACGTCAAATACCCCAGTTTGTCATGGGGGCATAAACAAAATGTCCATAAGTGAAAGTACAACTGCTAAAACTGCAGTTAAAGTCGAAAAATTAAAGATGAAACACCCAAAATGACATACCTGTTTTATTTTCTTTCATTCACCGTCATTCATTTTAAAAAGCACCCGCTCCATTTTATTTGCTGGAACACATTACTATTCCCTCTAGTGATCGCATAAAAATCCTCATCATAATTTACTCAAGTGCGTGAAAACCCCTGCTATATATAATGAAAGTATGGGATTTCGGACACAGTGTACTAAACTCAGAATGTCCTTTCATTGGTCATTCCTGTGTATTTCAAGAGTTCACACTTAGCCGATGAGCAATAAAGCGTAATTGGCATGCTGTCCCGGGAGAGAGCCCTGATCTCGTAATATCCTTGAGCCCAGGGCTCCCTCCCTTTAGAAGGGCGAGAGGGGAGTTCGAGCTCAGGTAGGTCTCGAGAACTCCCCTGCTTGCCACTGTGTGAGAAGTGTAAACTAAGGTTGTCTTAGGTGATAATTTGGTTTAGTCAATTGGCTATGGTGTGTTTTTTAGACGGTGGGAGAAAACCGTGGAACCCGGGGAAAACCCCACGCTATATTAAATGTGTAAAAATGTTGCTGTAGTGCTGAGAAATATTCCTCTGTCCTCCTCAGATAAACCAAAACACTCCAATTCAACAGAGATCATCAGTTGGAGCAATGATGTCTCTCTAAACTGTACGGTGAAGGCAAACCCGGCTGCTGTGTACTCATGGCACTCAGAGCATCTGACAGAGAAGATCAGCTCCTCAGTGATCCAGTCCTCCACACTCAGTCCAGGAAACTACACCTGTATTGCCACAAACTTTCTTGGAGAAGACAAAAAAAACTTCACCATCAATTGCGTTACAGGTGTGTTAGTAGGTCTACATGAAATCTGCACCCACAGAAATCCACAAATGTCCAGCTCATCATTCCATCTATTAACTCACTTATGTAAATATATGTTTAGTATATATTTATGCTGTTTTTATATGTCAGTAATACTACTAAATAAAATGCAAATGTTTAGATTTGTGCACTATACAATTTGTAATGTTAAGCATGGTATAGTAGCAAGGTTCCTTGATTATTATGCTAAAATAAGTGTATAGTTCCATTCAAGAGTTCTATACTATCAGCCTAGAAAAGGAACATTTCAATTTCTGTCAGTCTTAGTACATTATAATTACAGTAAAGTCAAGCTTTAAATTGATTTAGCTTTTTTTTTTTTTTTTTTTTTTGAGTGAGATGCTAACAGTCCAATCAGATTCAATGATTTATGCTAAGCTATGCTAAAAGTAAGTGCTCCTGTCAGATAGGCTGATTGGTTTCAGAAATTATAAAAACAAACTGTTTAACTCAAGAAGACATGTAAAATTAAAAAAGAAAAAAGTGTAGTCCCTTTAAGAAACATATGAAGAGTTCAGATGCAAAAGCTGCTAAATGCCACTTTCGCCAAAAATGAGATAATGACATTGAGTGAAGGCTTTAGGCACATAGTACACCATCAACAAATAGATTTGCTTCAAATCATCTGAATCGCAGCATCAGCACATTCAGGAATAACAGTTTGTTGGCAAAAGCTGCTAAAGGCCACTTGCCTTTGACAGCAAAAGCCGCTATCTCCCGAGAACCAATCAGATGTGCGAATTGAATCATATGTTTTCAATGTAGCAGTGCGCTGATACGCCGGTTTTTATGAAAAGACATTTCGATTTTCATTTTAAAAGATGGAGTTTGATCAACTAGATGAGCCTGTCTGACTGTCAGTGAATGTCAAATGAAAATGTGCCTTACCTTAGAACTCTCTGCATTATAAGAAAAAGAAAACACAATGTGCAGTCGGAAGTGTAGCATGCATTCATAACATTTTTTGCGCAGTGACGCTACTTTGAATGAGTCCGATTTACTATACAATAAACGGCAACTGCGTTTCACGAAAGACAGAGTTAAAATACCATTCTTTTATCCCACGTGGATGCTATGAGGATAAACAAGAGACGTAAAAGAGACCAAGACCTTGAGTATAAAATTGTCTGAAGGACATCCCCTTTTTGCTCAGTAGGCCCACCTTGTGTTTTATTTGCTAATTTGGCTATTTAAAAAAACATATATATATATATATATATATATATATATATATATATATATATATATATATATATATATATATAAATTATGTATTAATAAACAAAGCACAGATATTGATGTTTCACAATGTTTCAAACTACAATATTTGAATCTACCAAGCTTAGTTTACAATGATTTTATTGCTCTACTTACATTAAATCTAAAATCCCAAATATCAGAAATAACAACAGATTGTTAAGATTTATTTAATGTCAGTTTTAATGTGTTTGGTTAATGCACTTACTTGGCAGATTTTATTCGTTCATTTTCCTTTTGCTTTTTCTCTAGTTTACCACAGCGGAATGAATCGCCACTTACTTGACAGACATATTTTTAATTTTAGGTTGTGTAATGTGTTTTATGTTTGGAAAAATAATTTCTAATTTACTCTTTAGTAATTTTTCAACTAAATACTCTGTCTTGTCTCGATTAAGACGTTTTTGCAAAAAAAACAAAAAAACAAAAAGCAGAAGTGGATTTAGCTGGTTTTGACGCAAAAGAAAACTTTCTAAAGTGAAATTTATGAAAAAAAAAATTTATTTACCAGCTAATAACCTTATCATTACAAATAAAATAAAATCTCTGAGCCTAATTACAGGAGCCTGATAGAAAATGTTCATTTACAAGAAAAGAGGTTAGATGGATTTAGAGGGTTTTGCATCTGAACACTCCATGTGCTTCTGATTTGCATTGTACACCATAAATAAAGTCAAGAAGTCATTTTTATTTATATGTTTAGTTATCTACTCATATGCTTTCTTATTATTGCTTTTCTTTTCTTATGCTTATAAGTCAAAAAAAAAACAAAAAAAAAAACGAAGAACTGTGCATAGTCAAGCCTCACAAGAAAACTTAAGTATTTTACGTTTTGTCAGTTTCGTGGCTAATTCGTCCAAATTTGTAGTTCAGTCGTATAAAAATGTAAAATTTTGAAAAGGAGGCATGGCACCCAACCCCACACCTAAGCCCAGCCGTCATTGGATGAAGAGCAAATCATACTAAATTATATGAATGAGATCGTATGAAATCACATGAATTAGCCACTAAATCAAAAAGTTACGAATTGCCGAAAGATTGTGTTGATATTGTGGTGTATTTTTACTGATAAAGATTTAATAAAGCCTTTATTATGGCTTAGATCATTAAAAACAATTACAGCTGATGTGTTGCAGTTCATGATATAATCGCACACTTGAATAAATTACAATTTTTATGAATCAGTAGTGAAAGCTTTGTGCATTCTCCTTCCACAGGTTGTCATGGTACATTCTGGACTGTTCTGGTTTTCCCCCAGTTGCTGGTTGCATTCACGTCTATCTTGTAGGAGAGAATTAGTCCCTTATGCTTTATTTTCTCAGAAATGGGATTAATCTGCAGGCCATTCATGTGAATTTTGTTAACTTCAAATCAATTACGTCAGGGATGTGAATGATATGCTACACATCACTTTTATTTGTAAATTCAGTTGTGTTTTTTGTTGTTATCAAGAAGTATTTGACCGTCAAAGTGAATTTGCAATTAGACATTTTTTATATTCTTGCCAAAAAAAAAAGATCTCAGTAATTTTTTTTGTACTGGTTACTAATACATTCAGTTTAACTTTGATGCCATTTGTCTGCCAGAAACAATATTTTATTAAAATCATTAACACACAAATACAGTATTTTCTGTTTATTATGCTTTTAGAGAATAGTTAGTTTTCATGCCAGTCTAGGAGATGTTGCAGTTGTTAAAGTTTATGAAAATGATCTTATTTTGTGTTTGACGTTTTTTTTCCTTGTTTTGTGAAATATTGTAGTATTTCTTGTTTGTCACCTTTAAATATTTTAATTAGCCGATTTTACACATGATGCACTCATTGCACAGCTTCTGGATTTCTTTTATACGCTGCATGTGTGAAGAACAAAAGAACTAAAAATAAACTTTGGCTTTGACTTTCTCAGTGTTAATGGTGATGCATTTACTGGGTTTGTCGAAGGAAATGAAAAGGCGTTTGGTAGAAACGAACGGTTGGGTGGAGTTTCTCAAAGTCTGAGGACACAAAAAGTGTTATGCGTGTTGAAGATAATATTTTCCTACAGTTAAACTGTTTTGTCTAACTATTTTTTAAATTCATTCAGTCGATCTCCAGTGCTGGTGGGAGCACTTTCAGCTTAGCATAGTTCATTGAATCAGATTAGACTAGAGCATCTCTCTAAAAAAGTTTAGATAATTTAGTTATTTAAAGCTTGACTTTTCTGTAGTTATTAAGACTGAAGTTAAATTTAAATTTGCTATTTTCGATAGTTAGATATGTCTGAAACAGGGGTGTCAAACCCAGGTCCTGGAGGACTGCAGTCCTGCACAGTTTAGTTCCAACCCAACTCCACTTACCTGCAGGTTTAAAATGAGCCTGAAGGACTCTTAAATTAGCTTGATCAGGTGTGTTTATTTAGCTTTCTGCACGCCATATCATGTCAGCAGCAGGTGCAATGATATTACACAGCACCAGAAAAGTCAAGATACAGAAATACACATAGGATTAGCTTTAAATAGGAAATTTTTTTAAACACTTTGGTTTGAGCGAGATGTTAATGGTCTAATCCAAACGTGTCAAACTCAATTTCTGGAGTACCCAGCACAGTTCAGTTCCAACCCTGCTCTAACACATTTACCTGTATGTTTTAAACAAATCTGAAGAACTCAATCATTTTTGATCAGGTGTTTAAATAGGGTTGGAACTAAACAGTGCAGAGCTGCGGCCCTCCTGCAGCCAAGTTTGACAATGACTAATTCAATGGCTGTGTCCAAAATTACTTAATACTCAGCTTGCACATTGTTTTTATCATATTATAATATGGAAGTATCCGATTTTGGATGCAGCCATTGCTTTATGCTAATAAAAAGTTAAAAGTTCTTCCGCCAGACCAGTAGATCAGATCAATGAATTAAAATTGATTAAAAAAATTGATTTTTTTTTAAAGAGGGAGTGTCCCTTTAATACTGCAACTAATCACAAGGTGATGTGATATTGTATATTTATTAGTGTACATTGTGATTTTTTTTTTTTTTTTTGTGACTGGATCATTTTCTGTCATACAGTGCACTTCACTTTTTTTCACATTTGTTTTATGTTCCCGCCTTGGTAACACCGTAGAATAACTATCCATTATAACTAGTTAAAAGACCATTAATAAATTGTTAGCTAATGAGTTTCAAATGACTTGTTAAATATTAGTTAATAGTTTGTTAATAATTTATAACTGTTTTAAAAATAGCCAATTGATAATTTACAAGCAAAAACCATTTGTAGAACTTTTCTAATAAAATATTTTTTTTATTTAATTGTGTTCATGTTTAATACAAAAAGTACCCAAACCTCATGGGTTTGTTGTACATTCATTGGGTCTGTTGTACACTGCTGTTCTGCCATGTGATGACTCAGTATGTGTGTTTCTATACATTAAACACAATGTTCAACATTCATCTGTGGCGTTTCTTTGGTAAAACACAGTACACAGAAAAGCCTATAAGTGTAACAAGGTTATTGTACAATTTTTTTATATTTTAAATATCACATCAAATTTCTGTAGCTTGAACTTGTTCCATTCATTTGCTGTTCTACAAAGTTTCACTGGTATTAGTAGATGATTAACAAACTAACAACTGATTGGTAAAGTGTGAGTTTATTATTTAAGTGTTAGTTATTAGCTTATGTAAGTTATTCGGACGTGAATTTAAAGTTGCAACTTTTCCTCAGTTACTAACAGTTAATAGATGAAGAATAGTTGAAACTTTAGAATAGCATCGCAATAACATATATAAACTATTAACTGATATTTAACAAGTCTTTGGTAACTAATTTACTAACAGCTTGTTCATGATCAATTACTAATTTTTTAGATATAGTTTTAAATCATTAAAATACAGTTAACAATTCATTAATAACTTGTTAACTTACAGCTTTTCAGTTATCTGTTGGCTATCTACAAGGCACAGTTATAAATAATTGACAGACTATTAACTATTATTTAACAAGTCATTTATAACCTATTAACTAACAGTTTATTAATGTTCTATTAAATAGCTATAACGGATAGTTATTCTAAAGTGTTACCTTTTTTTATTTTTGCAAATTTATTAAAAATAAAAAACCTGAAAAAGCACATGTACATCAGTATTCACAGTCTTTGCCGTGAAGCTCTAAATTGAGCTCAGGTGCATTCTGTTTCCACTGATCATTCTTGAGATGTTTCAGCAGCTTCATTGGAGTTCACCTGTGGTAAATTCAGTTGATTGGACATGATTTAAAAAGGCATTAACCTGTCTATATAAGGTCCCAGGGTTGATAGTGCATGTCAAAGCACAAACCAAGCATGAAGACAAAGGAATTGTCTGTACACCTCCGAGACTGGATTGTCTTAAGGCACAAGGCTGGAGAAGGTTACAGAATTTCTGCTGCTCTAAAAGTTCCAATTAGCACAGTGGCCTCCATCATTCGTAAGCTGAAGATGTTTGGAACCAACAGAACTCTTCCTACAGCTGGCAGACCATCTAAGCTGAGTGATCAGTGGAGAAGGGCCTTAGTCAGGCAGGTAATCAATAACCTGATGTTCACTCTGTCTGAGCTCCAGCGTTCTTCTGTGGAGAGAGGAGAACCTTACAGAAGGACAAATATCTGTGCAGCAATCCACAATCCAAGGCCTGTATGGTAGAGTGCCAGAAGAAAGTCACTCCTTAGTAAAGGGCACATAGCCAGCCAGCCAAAAGGCATCTGAAACACAATTCTCTGATACGATGAGACTAAAGTTGAAATCTTTCGAGTGAATGCCAGGCTTTCTGTTTGGAGAAAACCAGGCACCGCTCATCACCAGGCTAATACCATCACAGTGAAGCATGATGGTGGCAGTATCATGCTGTGGGGACTAAGAGACTGGTCAGGATAGAGGGAAAGATGAATGCAGCAATGTACAGAGACATCCTGAATGAAAACCTGCTTCAGAGTGCTCTTGACCTCAGACTGGGGCAATGGTTCATCTTCCAGCAGGACAATGACCCAAAGCACACCCCCAAAATATAAACAGAGTGGCTTTACAACAACTGAATGTCTTTGAGTGGCCCAGCCAGAGCCCAGATCTAAATCCATATTGAACATCTCTGGGGAGATCTGAAAATGGCTGTACACCAAAAATAACGCAAAAAAATTTCCCAAAGACAGGTGTGCCAAGCTTGTGGCATCATATTCAAAAAGACTTGAGGCTGTAATTGCTGCCAAAGGTGCATCTACAAAGTATTGAGCTAAGGCTGTGAATACTGATGTACATGTGATTTTTCAGGTATTTATTTTAAATAAATTTGCAAGAACTTCAACAAATCTTTTTTTTTACATTGTAATTATTGGCTATTGTGTGTAGAATTTGAGGAAATAAATTAATAAAATTTGGATTAAGGCTGTAACATAAAAAAAATGTGGAAAAAGTGAAGTGCTATGAATACTTTACGGATGCACTGTAGACTATTAACACTAGTCCTCCCCTCTCCACCCATCTCTCACACTTAAAATTTCCGTTACCCTGAACTCAGCTACAAAAACATCCGGGCCTAAAAACAAAACTTCCTTCATCGATATTAACAAAGTACATTAACGCATGACCAGTATGATAGCTATCAGACATTGAGGTGTCATTTCACACTTAAAGAAAATCCATTAGAGCAACAAATTATTTCTAAACCTTATCTTTTTTTTATTAAATAGTCTTCTGTTGTATATGTTAAACAGAGTGACCTGTGCAACTTCAGTCTGCCAGAACTTCCCGTGAATGAGAGTTGCCACAGCAACCTTGCTGCAGCAGAGCATTTTAAGACAGTGAGCAGGAACTCATCAGCTTTTGCCCAACAGAAGTTAATTTGTTGATAAAAAGACACCAACATGTTTTAGATAATCAGTGGCAGTTCACTAGTGAAGATCACAGGAATAATTTATTACAAATGAAATATATATTTAAAAAAAAAAAAAGGATTTTAAAAGGCTGTTTTCCCAGTGTGTTCCATTTCTTGAAATGACCATTTTTAAGTACATTTCAATAATATAAAGACACTTTTTCCTCTATAAAGATCCTTTGAATAAATTTATACACAGTGTGTATGAACCACACTACCGTGAAGTGTATCATACTATATAGTATTTAAAACTCATTAATAAATGCTCCAGCATATAGTGTTTACTATAGTTAACTGATAAAACTGTCATAAATGCTGTAGCATACTTTACCACAGTAATCTGTGGTGTATTGTAGTATAACATATTCCATAGCAGTAGAAAACTACAGTATTGGGTTATTTGTTAATATTACCATAGTTGTTGTGTCACCATATGAAATTATACACTTACCACAACAAGTACTTCACTGTTCAAAAACAGTGTTTACTCTAGTATTTTTTGTCATGTGAGACATTAACAATTCTTCATGGAACCATCAATGCCACAATTAACCTTTATTTTTAAGATGTTCTAAATAATAATCAATCAATTTAAATGCCACCTTTAGACAAATAACCATTTAAAGTTTTGT